AGGTCAGGAGCTCCGAACTACTTTCAGGTCCTGGAAGACGACGAGTTGTTCGAAACGTCGACTTAATAAAGCGGTTTCACCATAACAAACCTGTACGGCAAAACAGTGTAAAAACAAATCGATAGTCTTCATTTGAGCCTAGATCACCGTGTTTTCGAAGTAACTCGAAGGAGTGGTGATTATTGAATTTGCAACTTTCTCTCCTTGTTGTATGTTTGTTGTGAAATAAATAAATTTGTCAGTGGTTTATCACTTGAAGGCGATGGAAAAGCACCCTTTACTGAAAAATTTACCGAAAAAATGATCGTTTCTCCGAGCTGGAATTTGATGAGAATGCGCGAATTGCAATTCAGCCTTGACAAATTTTCTTTCTTTGACCTCTTTCTTCGGAAATATCGTCTACTAAAGTGTTTGGGAGAATCGGAAGTGGCTGTATCATTTGGAGACGTACTTTAAGCAAAAAAAGTTGAAATAGTAGCCTCTGCGATATATGAACACAATCTGATGGGCATAGTGCCACTCCAAGCTACGAAGTGTGGAATTCGATGCTCGAGGAAGCAACGATGAAGGGCCCCAACGGAGTATCAAAATCACCTGTTTAAAACCAAAATGGCATTAGAAAACACCGTCGATAGAAGGAAGTGTTCGAAATTGACAGGAACATTGAACCCCACCCACCAGATTAAAGGGCCAACTCTGAAAGTATAGAGTGTGATTGACTAGATAACCTCAACTTGGCCCTTTCTGCATGAGGTAGTCGATTCGCTAAGGCATACGGCCGATTGGTGAGGTATTTAGCACTGTGTTATTGATGAATATTGCCCAAACACATTTCTATGCTGAACTATCTTCAAATGCCTGTAACCCTCATTTCTTAGTTGTGATAGGTCATTGGGGATAAAGCTGTTTTAGCCCTCTTCCCTTAACATTACTTGTATGCGACAACGGTTTCTCTACATCGACAGAGTCATTGCGAAAGAATGCCAAATACCACTTATTCAGCAAATTTTGAACTTTACTGGCTGCATAGTTATGGCAAATCTCGACAAGCTGAAGAAAATCCCACTAAGTTCAATAATGAGTTTGAAGGGGAACACTGATTTTTGTGGTAAGGAATATTAGAAGTCTAATGTTCTTGACAACGTCAATTTTCTTGCATACAGAGTATAAATATAGTCTCATGGTATATGGAAATAGCAATCTCGAGAAGATAGATTTCAGGAAAAGTATGGTCATAAAACAAGAGGTTGAATTTTTATGTTTTTTTTGCATCATTAGCTCGTTGAAAGTGGTACTGCTGCATATTTCAAACACAGTCTGTATACCTCTTAGTTTATTCCGTCCATAATGCGAACGATTGCGCAGGCTTCTCACCATTTTCGGTCCCATCCCATATCCATTCGATTTCGTGACGGTAGCATGAAATCTGTCTGATTGGCGGTCTTGTTCGTGACTTTTAGAGTCAATGAGCCGCATTTTGTAAATCTTGCAATAGTTTTCGTTGTAAGCGTGGCATCCACCCTCGTAAAATTCTTTGTGCGAGGTGATCATTGGATCAGCTCGTATAACTGCAGATGAAGATTTTTAATCTGAGCCGTGAGCCCTGCTTTTTGTTACGGTTTGCTCCTTCGTAAAGCTCATGTTGCCTTATGCGTAGGGAGCGATGAAACCAACAACGTCGATATTGATGACCTACATCTCAGTAGACATGGTACGAAATTTCACGAGTGAATGAGCTTGCTAGTATCTTGCCTCAACGGCCTCTATATCGCTGCGCCACGTCGACTGAAATTTAAGGGATTAACAGTGCAGCAAAACGTCATCGGTGTCTTTTAGTTGTAGACTGAGGCTCAGGGAGCCGAGCGTAGTCAACTCTCATACTTGAGCTTCCGAAAAGTTGCACTCGTTAGCTTAGGGTGACTGTGTCCGTTTTTTGTAAACATTTATCTTTATTCCCATCACAGCTCCTAGCCAGAACGCAAACATCCTTGCTGTATTTTTGAACATGGAATGTGTAGGGTTTGCTTAATGTGTTTTAGATAACACACTATGAGACTCACGAAACTGGTCGAATTAAGAAGTGGTTACCCGGTTTGAGGCATCTCTTACCACTGGGCTAACGGATGGAGGAAAATATCTCTCAAAAGAAATTCATAACTTTATGAAAGGAGAAGGATCAGCGAAGACAGGATGTTGTTTCAGGAAGTTTTCATTAGAGCTAATGAGAAGCTGCGTCGCGAACAAGTCTTCAATGCCCCATTTGCAGTGGACATTGGTAGTCCATACGGTTAGCCGAACTACTATTTCCTCAAAATTAATTTTCTTATTCGACGCAACGCGACACCACTCATTTTCGACTGACATGGTCGCTGACCGCACCTTTAATTGGCCGCTTCTTTACCAAAAACACAGTTTTCCTCTAACTCCATCCCAGAGATGAGGATCTTCAGCGCTTTGTTCCTACTTTATCGTTCGGACTATATCAGCACAGTCATCTAATGACCTCAACTTAATCGTTCGACAACCATCGAATATGTTAGTTTTTTGGGGAGTTATCTCAACTGAACTCGATTCTGGGGACTACTTTTTCTGTTCCACCTTCCGGTGTGGGTATATTCCATGTTCCCAGTCGGAGCACACTTATTTTCGGCTGCTAGAAAGTCTCTATCATGACCACTTCGTTCATCTTACTTCTACTTGAGAGATTCTAGACTGTACAATGGAAATGGCTATGAAACGCAACGACTGTACAGCACTAGTTGGTGATTTGGCCTATAAAGGTAAAGAAGGTGACAAGAAATATGTATGGATGCAGATAGGAAAGGTTTATGGGACCATAACTATAGACGACATATCAGATTCAGACTTGGATACGCTCATAAAACTTACCGTTGATGGATGGCAACGTGAGAATTTTATTCGTTAGATTTCGCAGACAATTAGCATACAGAAGATCATGGTTTTTCATTTCAGCTCGGATAGTACGGATANGTTATCTCAACTGAACTCGCTTCTGGGGACTACTTTTTTTACTTCGATGTGGGTACCAGTATACCATGTTCCCAGTCGAAGCACACTTATTCTCGGCTGCTAGAAAGTCTCTATCATGACCACTTCGTTCATCTTACTTCTACTTGAGAGATTCTAGACTGTACAATGGAAATGGCTATGAAACGCAACGACTGTACAGCACTAGTTGGTGATTTGGCCTATAAAGGTAAAGAAGGTGACAAGAAATATGTATGGATGCAGATAGGAAAGGTTTATGGGACCATAACTATAGACGACATATCAGATTCAGACTTGGATACGCTCATAAAACTTACCGTTGATGGATGGCAACGTGAGAATTTTATTCGTTAGATTTCGCAGACAATTAGCATACAGAAGATCATGGTTTTTCATTTCAGCTCGGATAGTACGGATAGTAAACAACTACAGATTAAGGAATATGGCAGCAATCCTGAAAATGAAAGTGACTGGCCCTAAACCGCATTTTTGGTTTCATAACAACACGAGCATCTGTCGTATAGTCGATGTCAGGAAAAAAGTTGAAGCCAATTTAGAATCACAAATGTCATGGAACGAAAGCTGCCGTAAGTCAGATCGTTTTTCTTACTGACATGATTTTCACTGATTCACTTCATTCATAAAGGATGAAAAAGATAGAGGTTTTGCCGTTGATCAATCCCTTCTAAGGAATGCGCCCCCTCATTTGACTTGAATTCAGAATCGTAATGGCGTAATGAATGCGTATTCGGCCTATACATACAATGACTTGCGGTGACCAGCCGATATCAGTGCTGTGCCTTTAGTCAGTGCCTTTATACTCCCAGACGAGTTTGGTACGAATTAGGCTACCCCGCAGGGATGGAATATTTATTTGGCCTAGGCGAAAATCGATCCGGGATTCGAACCTATGACAGTAAGTGCAAGAAGGTGCGTCACTTGCCACTACACCGCCTTCGCCCCACTTCATTCATATAGTGGAGAAAAAATAGTAAATTTAAATTCATCTAAAAGGTTAGTGTGTACTTCGTACTAAGAAAAAGTTAATTATCATAAAAAATACAATACGGTTTATTAGCGCAGAAGCCATTTGACCTTCGAAACCTCTAATGTCAAAATTGAACCTAATTTTTTCATGATTTATCAGCTTTTAACAGAGCTAGGAGCGATGTATGAGATGGCGAGTGTAGATGGTACGAAAGGAGGTGAAGATGATGATAGCTGTTACAAGCTGATAAGACAGTGCATTTGCAGAGAGGAGCTAACCAATTCGCTTCGTTATTCTACAACGAAAGAGAAATGCTTCACTCAGAACGTAGCATATTGAACAGATGAATATGTACATACCAGGTCTCAGAATTTATAGCTGATGACAGCTGATGACGGAGGCTAGGAAGCAAGAACTATGCCGGTAGTGCCTTTAGTAGTATAAGGGTCCTTATAAAGCCTCAGCCAAAATGTTGTCCGCTTCTATTTGGCTAACGTTTTGACCTTGCCGCCTTCGTTGGGATCTGGGAACCGGATATATTCGAGGTTCTTCCCTGTCAAACGTCACTTCAGACTTCAGCTTACCAGGGAAAGAACCCAATGAATAAATAAATAATAAATAATTCGGTCGAAGTCGAAGGGGCTATTTGAAATGAGACCTACACTGCTGTACATGTTGTGGATGCTGAGTTAGAATCCGCTTCCCAAATTTGCCAAGAACCTTTCCCTTCCCCCGAACGGAGTTGTGAGAGTGGTTATAGGGAGCTTAACATAAGAAAACTTAAATCACGTGGATGTACCTCATTCCTTAACGGTGGTCAGTGTAGTGGTAAGCGTGACGCTTCATGGACGAGAGGCGAGGGTTCGGGGTTTGTGGGAGAAGGAGTTTCTGCATTATATAGAATTTTTCTATTGAGGGCTAGAATATGCTCTCAATGTGACTTTGTTACGTTTTATGATCTTAACTGCTTTTACTGATATTTATCCACATAAAGTTATACTTCAGTCTTACTCGCATGCCCATGCACTCTATATTCACGGTAGGATAACTTTTGCCACTTTATGAACAAATGTGGTACTCTAGCTCGAAATGCTTGAAACAAAGAGGCTTCTCACATTGGGAGCAAAGGATGAAAAAGGAACTCGTCACAGCTCACTGCGTTACACTTACTAACCCCAAAACAGAAGGAAAACAGAATGTGTAGGCGTCCCAAAATCACCCGAGCGAGTGCTTAAAGGCACTGTTCACGAAAAAATGGCTTCGGAGATTTGCACATGGTTTGAATTCGACGCCCCCTCTGATACCATTTGTGCAGGAATGAGGTCGGAAAACGACTGGATAGGGCACAATAGGGGGCCGGAGAGTTATCCACGGTCGCCCTCCGCCCCTCGCTAGTCTGACTACGAAATCTAACTGCCGTTCACCACTTTCGCATTGGAGCGAGGTTGATGAAAAGTCGATAAGCTGGTTGGCAAATTGCCAGAGACGCAATGTGTTGCCTGCTATTGCAGACAACACATTGCGTCGCCTTCGTGCACTTGCCCGAACACTCCCTAACCGCCGTTATTTCAATGTGAATCTCGTCCAACCCCCTTTCCAGCTCTTTTTTTGACCCTTTGTAATTCTTTTGTTCATTTTTTTTGCGCTTTTTTCGTTGTTATCGCTTTATACTAGAGTAGTTCTATCAATTCCCGTCAAAAAAGGGTACCCTAAATTTATTGCTAACGGTGCCTTTAAGTAGCCGGCGGCATACCATAAACACAAGAGTAATTTCTTAAATCTAGCCGCACAGAACTGAAAGTAGACAAGCGATAGTAAGAATAACGCTCTAAGAATGGGGTTTCGTGTGTACACTTAAAAGTTGGGACCATGAGCTATTACATAGTGCGAGGTGGTGCGTTTAACCATATTCTGAAAAGCAAATAAGAAATAAGCTTCTATCGGCTGTATTAGCCTCGTGATAACCTCGAGTCGGGTGTCGTTCCCTTCACCTGCTTTTGTGAGGTAAGGCAAACTGGCTAGCTTTCTTGTCTTTGAGTGCACTATCAGCAGTGCCGGTGTAGGTGAGTCCAGAGCTGTTACGCACCGTCGCACCCAATCTAGCATCAACACCCACTCTAGCGTCACCGTTGCTCATCATATGCAATTTACTCGCTCAGACCTCTAAAGTTTGCGCACGGAGGGAACTCCCACTCGGTAACAGATAGGTAGGTGATAGAGAAGGAATCAGCAAAACATTAAAAGGTCATAAAACGTGATAAAATCGCCATAGAGTATTTTCTAGTCATTGAGGGAAAAATTCTATATAATGCAAAAACCCCCTCCCCTACAGAACTCAAACCCTGACCTCTCGCCCATAAAGCGTCACACTTATCACTACACCAAGCAGTCGTTGTGACACAAGGCCCACTCATGAAATTCAAGTTTTCTTATGATAAGCTCCCTGAAACCACCCTCGTAACTCCGTTCAGAGAAACGCTTGGCAAATATGGAAAGCAAATTCGAACTCAGTATCCAAAAACGCGTACAACAATGTAGGTCTCATTTCAAAAGGCTACTCGACTTGGGATCCTTCCCTGGTTAGCTCGAGTATAACTAAATAGAAAATAAATCAATAGCTAGAAAGATAACTAAAAAGAAAATAAATAAATATCTAGAAAGGTACATTACAACCAGGAGTCCACCTTGAACGTAGGCGAGAATTTCCTACTCCATTTTCGCAGTCGATGAACTTGTGGTGCCAGACCCCGGCATGAAGCCAATGACAGTTTAGCCAACAAAGGTCGTAGAACGAGGCATTCCTTATGACTAGGCATTGATTCCTTGGATTTGTTTGAACGTTTTTGCATCCACCCAGAATGCTTCCTAAAATTCCCGCTAAGAGATCGTCGGCTCCTACTTCAAACCCCTGACTGACACCTTAAGCTTTACGTTTCCGTGGCATTGCCTCCGACGACCTTCAAGAGGAGTTTCAGACTTCATACTCTTAAGGTCAACCAGGTATTCCCCGGCTTTCTATCCTTAAAGGCACCATTCACGACTAAAAGTTATTGAGATCTTACCTTATTAATACACAGCGGCCCCCATGGGTTGTTGAAGGGACCCTCTCACTCCCACAATCTCGACGTCCAGGGCGTAGTGGCAGCTCCGTTGTTGACGTAATTCGCATCTCCGCCCCTCGACTGATGTCACGTCAGACGAGTGTCGAGACGACACAGCGTCATGTAATCGCGTCAGGACCCACCCTGAACTGCAATTTGGCAAATTGCCAGAGACGCAATGTGTTGTCTACTATTGCAGACAACACAATGCGTCTCTGGTCTGACAACTTGCCAATTTGGCCGAACACCCCCTAACCACCGTTATTTCAATGTGAAACTCGTCCAACCCCCTTTCCAGCTCTTTTTTTGACCCTTTGTAATTCTTTTTGTTTGTCTTTTTTTGCGGTTCTTTCGCTGTTATCGCTTTATTCTAGAGTAGTTCTATCAATTCCCGTCAGAAAAGGGTAAACTACATTTTTTGCTAGCGGTGCCTTTAAGGTCCCCGGGTCTCCTCATTTATTCGTCTCCATGGAACGCGCATCGCATGCGATAAAGTAGATAAAAGTAATGCCATATAGTCACCCTCTCGACAGTTGGGGCAGATGTAAGAATGGGGGAGGTTATCAGAGACGGTCATACAAGTGACTTTGAAGCAGCCTTTGCCCAAGGTTTAAGAGAGAAATTTTCAATCACCCGCACAATCTCATCGATTCCGCGTTCTAGCGTCACAAGTGACGAAGTGGATCACGATAGGAAGGCAAAAAGTACCTGCTTCAAGTTTTGGCCGTGTGGCATGCGAGTTTCTCGGTTTCCCAATGTTTACTGAGCATTGATTGCCCTTTTTTTAACAGATTCTGCTTTTTCCAATCAACCTATAAAAATTTACGCAATCCTAAACATATTCGCCGTAATGCCCCACTTGATTTTGGGTGGACGCGCCAAGGCGTCTTTGTTGTTTAGATAGGAGGTTTGGAAGGTGATCCACAAGTCTACTCCGCTATACCTAAACCGGTTTACTAGTTGTAACTTACCTCTGCATGGAAACTTCAGACCATTCTGATTCAGTGTAAAATAGTTCAAAATAAAACGAAAAGTTGACTGCCTAGATATAACAAGTGAAAGCCTTTCTCATATATGATGTTTCTTTTCGTGCAACGAAATGTTCAAGGATCTGCTCCCTCTATCGTAACTTCCAGAGCTCCTATAGCCACCTTAGGCAGAAGTGTTCCGTCAGTTACATGAAAAAGTTCTCAAACATGAAATCTCATTCTCAACTTTCATTTTGAAGATGAAGTTCTTTCGATGGCGAAGAATGTTTAATAGATTGCAGAAAATGTTGGGAATAATTGCTTGCTTTTTAAATGTTTCTCATTAAGTGGTACGGTGTAGAGGGGGAACTGTCAGCGAAGCCTACCTCAGTCGCATGGACAGCCTTTGCAACACCATCAATGGCAAACTAATTCTTCGAAATCTGAATGGTAAGTATATACTGCACTCAAGCTGTCCACAGTTTTTGCATCATCTTTCGTCTAGCGACGAAAACGAACTTCTGCACCTTCAAGCTTGAACCGAAACTAAACCGGGGGAACACTTACGTCCTCAGTTGGAAAGCGACAGAGAAATCACAAATCCGAGTATGGTATACAGTTCCGCGCTTTTTAGTGTCCAACGTAGTCTAGGAATGGCGAGTATAGGAATGGCGTTTTCAGCTTAAATTTTCGGGACTCCTTTCCATGACAGCAGGTTATGTCTACTCCCAGTTGCTACTGATTTTCGTATTTTCTGTGCAGGACCCTTCAACACTTCAGTGCTCTTGCCAGATCTTTTTCAAGAACGGTTTCGTAATATAGCACTAGGATGGTCGCTTATTTAATCCAAATTTATAAAATCTGTCAAAAAATTGCCGGATATAACCACATGGGTGCAAATGCACCTTCTTTGCAATCCCATACGCTAGCCTGTGAGCTGACCTTGCTCGATTGGTTGGCTGCTGACTTCCTGAGCTGCCGTGCAGTTAACAATGGTACTGAAGTTGGCAGAATGCAAACTATCCTATTTAACAGGTGGAAGAGAAAGACGCCCCCCACTCACCAATTAGGTGTTAAAGGAGCATTTTTCGGTTCAACCTGCGTATCGGTAACGACATGCTGTACTAAGTCTTCTGATTCCTCTCGATTTTTTATGAGCTCCTCGCAATCTAAAACTACATAACGTGGCACTTCCTTGGATTGTTACAAAGCCGGCTTTCGTGTAGCCAACACCAGAACAACCGGTACTTCCGAATTAGCAACAGCGGAAGATAAAGCACCCTCAATCACGCGTGCGACTATCGTCCGAGTTGAAGCGCCTTTGGTACTTTTTTTGGTGTGACAAAAAGCATCAAATAGTCTTATCACGTCAACGAAAAGCCCGTGGAGGGCAAGCTGTCCTTTTTGAATATCCAAGTTCAGGTGACACGAAGCATAGCAAGAGCAAATGCTTCGTAAGCAGAGCTGTGAGCTGCTGGCTGGATCGAAAATGTAACCCCCTCAGGAGCTCATCTGGTTTTGTACCACGCAGGTTTATCCTTTGACGCTTCCGTGTCCGGTGTTTACAGAGACTACCCAAGTTCGCGGCGCGTCAGACAACGGAAGTGCTTTGAATCGCGGCTAGAGACCCCCAAATGCACAGAAAAGAAGTATGTAGCCGTTACTAGTGAACTCGCACACTTCCTCGACCTTTGTGACCTTTGATCTACGGGAGGTCAGAGGGAGTTATTGCTGTCATTTCTGAGTAAATTTGGTGCGTGGGTGGTCGTTTTGCCCTAGCGGTGGACTACAAGGTAAGCAGTCTGGATGAGTGCCATTGAAAGTTTGCTATTCAAGTTGGACCTTCTAGGGGTCCTGTTGAGGCTTGTTAGTCAGCAAGCCACCTATGCGTTTGTCCATTTAAGACTCTGACCAAAGCGAAGCTCGCTGAAACGTTGATCGACAAACTAATACAATCTTGGAGTTTGAGAGAAGCACATTCAGACTCAACTGCAGTCTTAACACGGTAAATTACATACGAAGGTACCTCTTGCTGAAGCTGAAGTAGCTGGCGTATTTGCCTGCGTCTGCACAACGACAGGAACATTACCTGAAGTCGATGCACTTATAAATGCTCTCGACTAGTGAGCGCTCTGACGTTCCCAGCGTTTCCGCATTCCATGACAACGAAGGTCGGGTAACCCAACAGAACGTAAGAATTATGCACCGAGGAAGAGAACGTGCTTTCTGAGCTACTCCATTATACAGGAGCCAGTTGTTGCATATCAAGTGAGTTCCCTATCAGAGATGGGACTGTCTTCAAAAATGCTTCACTTCACTCTGAAAACAGACTAGCGCGACTTTCGAGTTACAGTAAAGGCGATCAATAAACAGGACAAACAGAATCAACTTTATGAGAATGTGTGCGTAATAATGAGAATAGAAGTTTAACAAAATGGAAATAATGTAGTATGTAGAAAGTAGGATGTAATGTATGTAGTATAATGTAAAATCGGAAAAGAATACGCAATGAATTTTTAGAACAGACACACGACTGCGAAGCTCGCAATGATGATTTTACAACTGGCAACAGCCAGCTAAGTCGTTGTGAAATTCCATGCCTATACAGGGTTACGATGGGTCCCGGCGCGGCATCTGGTGTACTGCAGGGGCCGACATGCGTGCACCAGATACACCTAAGGCTGCAATCTTTTGGAACGAGGAGAAGAATTGTACCTCTGTTCTCACCAGAGTAATAATAACAGAACGCAAAAAAGCATTCCATTGAAATTAGGAGACTAAAAAGAAGAAGGAAGGACAAGGAAATACAAAGGAAAGAAAATCTTGCTGTCAGAAGGACTTCAACTAAACTAACCAGGGAAGGATCCCAACTCGAAGTGACCATTTGAAATAAGACCTATACAACTAGACGTGTTTTTGAATTCAAATCCGCTTCCCAAATCTGCCAAGCGAATCTCTGAACGGAGTTATGAGGGTGGTTTTTGGTGACATTACATGAGAAAACTTAAATTACATGGAAGCAGCTCACTCCTCAACGG